AACTATTTTACGTGTATTCTAGGATTGAGCAATAAGTAAATATATTGTCGATAATGAGAGGTATGTTTCTCAGTGTTGGAAAAAGAAGTTACAAGTAAGGAGACGAGGAGGAACCCTGTGGTGACGGACTGGAACCAGAGGCATTAGTTCGAACTCATGATTTTTATAAACAGATGTAGACGTGGGTATGAGTGTGTATATACACACGTAGATTTTCTAGCTCTGCCCACTGAGAGGGCCTAGAAACAATGACACCTCAGTAGTAATGAGCATACCAAGTGACCAGATCCTTTGTTTCTAGATAGTATTTTCTAATAAAAGGAACTAGGGCTCCTCAGAGAAATAAAATAATTAATTCCAGGGCTGAGGCAGGGAACGTAGATTCTTCTGGAATCTGTGGATATCCGGAATATCTAAATACTTCCTTAGAGTAAGGAAGTGCTCAAAAAATGATGGGAGCATTTCAAAAGGACTCAACTTGAAGGAGCTACCAATCGCCAAATCTGGGACAATCTGAGCAACTAAATTATGATAATAATGGATTATAACCCATAAAGTTAATATCCTTGAGTCCATACTGATATAAATAAATAATTGAATAATTAAGTAAACGGGAGAGAAGGATAGCTCTTCAATACAGTAGAATTTCAACTAATAAATGGAGTAAGAAGGATGGAAACAAAATCATCATTTGGCAAACACCACAGTAATAAGTGTTGTAGGCAAAATTCATCAATGTTTGCTAAAATTCAAAGGTGGAAGTACGATGAAAAACAAGATATTTGCATAGTCTCAAAGTTTCTCCCTACAAGTAAATTTACAGTGGAGAAACCTAGTAGACACCATTAACCAAGTGATTAAAGTTAACATCACCAGTAACGAGACACAGCAATGGTGGGCCTCCTGAGACGATGCACTGAGAAGGGCACACTGTCACTGTGTGTTATTCTCACTAAAATGAGAAAACATCAGACAAACTCAAACTGAGGGATAACCTACATAATAACTGTTCTGTACTCTTCAAAACTCAAGGTCGTAAGGAAAGAACTGTTAGATAATACAGGATGAAAGCAATGTGGGATCCTGGATGGGATCCTGGAACAGAAAGAGGACAGCAGTAGAAAAACTGGTGAACTCTGAATAAGATCTTTAGTTAATAGTATTACACCAATGTTAATTTCCTGGTTCTGATAATCGTACTATGTTCCCATAAAACGTGGGAAGAGGTTAGGGGAAGAGGTTCGGTGAACGATAAATGTAAAGTTTTTAAACTACGTTTGCAACTTGTCTGTAAATCTAAATTTAAGAAGTTAAAAAATACGTCAATGTCATAAAAAACAAAGACCAAGGAACTGTCACAGATTGGAGGAGACTAAGAAGACAGGACAACTAAATGTTCCATATCTTGATTGTGGAGATGGCTTCATGGGCACTCACATATGTTAAAACTTATTGAATTGTATCCTTTGAATATGTGCAGTGTAGTGTGTGTTAATTATAAAACAATAAGGCTGTAAAAAAAGAATGAACATTATATAAGAAAATAGGAAAAATAGGCAAGAACTAAATATAAAATAAGTAGAAAAAGTCACGTGTATAAAAAATTCTTATGTAATTTAAGAAATGTTAATAAAATGACTATTTTACATAAAAATTTATTTTTCTTTTACTATTTAAAAGATAGGGCTGCATAAAATTGTGCCAATATTAAGGATACTTGAAAGAATATGCCATGAGCTCTTTAGGCAACAAAGAAAAAATATTAAAAATATTTTGAGAGATGGCACCAAGTTGGAATAAATGCTTCCCAAGGTGATTATTTTAAAGAGGACACTCATTTTGATGGACTACTTCTAGTACACTGGTTTCTAAAACAACACTCATTTCCATATTGTCATACTTCCTACACTGTAGCTTAATCTTGCTCAACATATATGACTGAGATGTTGAAGCAGAACTGATTTACTTTTGAGAAATACTAGCTGTAGCAGACACTTATTTTGGCATGCCATTCTTCGGGTAAGAACATCGCTGGTGTCCTTTGGGGATCTACTCATCTTCTATTTCAGACCATCTATTTCAGGTGTGGCTTCAGAGAGTGGAGGTAGGGCTGCTGTCCAAGCCAGGCCAATCAATATATTACACTGACTGGTCCCCAAGATATGTGACCCAAGTCTGAAAGAGAGACTAAACAGTGATACTTCTGTAGAAAGAAGTCTCTTTCCACTGGGGTTGCTGAGTTAATGGAAAGCAAGCCTGGAGGTATTGGTGGCCATCTTGCATTAGGGAGAAAATATACAAAGGGAAGAGAGCTGCGAGGTGGGGAGAGAAAGAGTTCTGACAACACCTTCAGAGACTCTAAATAAGCCCTGATTAATTCAAATGGCCCTGGACTTCGGTTATGCAAGCCAATAAATTCCTTTTTTTTGCTTAAGGTACTGTGAGGTGGCTTTTTGTCATCTACAATGTAAACTGTCCTGTCTAATACACTGGATTACTTAACTGTGCTAAGTAATCAAATCATCAGTTTTGTGTTAAATCAACAAGATTAATATTAAAAAATAGCAAGTGCAGGTTTACCTTCTGAAATGAAACTCCTGAGTTATGAAATATACTGGGAGTACAAATGGTCCCCAACTTACGATGGTCTGATTTAACAATTTTTCAACTTTACGATGGTGGGTTCCACTATGGGAGTTCAATCTATTGTTGAATTGCACAACTCTTGAGATGAAGTTAGCTTTGGGTTTCATCTTACTTCAAAGATTTACTGAAGAATGAATATGTCTACATTGTAATGGTCTGTTTCTTTTTTTTTCATGTTTGAAATACACACAAATAAATCATCTTGTGAAATGACACTGCGCATGTGTGTGTGTGTGTATGTGAAAAAGGTTTCTACTGCTTTAAAATAATCTTTGAAAACGGCTGACTAATCTTGTTCAACTTCCTACTCAATACATATTCAGCTTAGCAATATTTTCAACTTATGATGGGTTTATTGTAACCCCACCACAAGTCAAGGAAGATCTGTATGGTGTTCTATCAAACAAGAACAGACCAATGGCAGTGGGAAAATTATCATACTATAATCTCTCTAACCAGAGGTTTTAAGGTGATTATGATTTCAAGTCCACTTCATAGGTTTTACCATAATTAGGATCTTGTTTAAAATCAATGAATAGCCTTCCCTAACCCAAACTGACCTAAAATAAGACAGTTAATCCAAACTGCCAGAGTTATCTCAAGCCAGATACGCTTTTGGTTTTACTGTCACAGAAAGCTGTGTTTTGATCAAACGGCCAAATTTTCTCCCAAACATATCTTCTGGGTTTCTGAGATACCAAGGGAAGGAATGGGAAAGAAGAAATTTTCTTCTTTTCTCGTATCTCATGGATAGACTCCTATTAAAATTCAAGAGTTTGACAAGATACTTAACACAATGATCTGTATAGCCTTGCACAGAAATTCTATTACCTTCTTAATTAGAGGCATACAGCATGCAGAACGAGATATCTACAGTCACCATTTAGAGATGCACAAATGCTTATACATCAGCTTGCAGCTTCTATTTTGAAAGTCTAGAAGACTTATGCAATCTGCTGATCAAAAACCCAGATCACAGCAAAAAACAAAATGAGAAAAATAAAAAAATAATGCCATATAAGCCATTGAACAAATAGATCCTTGCAGAACCAATGGGAAGGCTCAGCGCAGAAACAGTCTGCTGCTGATTCTCCCAAAGCAGATACAGTCTGAAAGTACTAGAGGTTAGTGCCACCAGAAAGAAAGAAAAAATTCCAGGAAAGCTGAATTGTGGCTCAACACTGTTTTGCAATGGAAAGTTTTCAAGTCACTAAGTAAACTGAGACTGCTTTTGGTTTCCAAAGGGTGACTCTGAACAGAGGCCACACCACACAAGCCCTGCCACCCTGAAACATGGTGGCTCTGCAGTGGAAAACTGATATTGTAACACCTAGAAAAACCAGATGTTTTTTCGGAGGGTGGTGGGAGAATATTCAGTTTGTGAAACCCATAAACCTTTTCTTTCACTCTCAAAATAACCTAAGTTTAACTAAAATACAGGGAAATCATAAGATCAGCTATGTGAAATAGATAAAATCTGAAAACAGATGTTTTCAACTTATGCCAGTGGTCTTCTAACACATACTTCTGTGCCAGAAAATGGTGTAGATCTTTCCATTGTACTTCAAAATCCTGAAACAATTGCCCTACACTGTTTAGGTAGACACTGTGGGGCAAGAGTAGAAAGGAAAATACTACTATATCTGCAAAGTTGTATTACTAGCTCAGTTTTCTGACTTGACTGATATCAAATGTACTAACAAACGTTCCAACTGCTCCATAATCTGAAGGGAAGAGGATGTAAGATAAAGCAACACCAACACAAATACCTTCTTTCTGAATGAATTGTCCCTAAAATAAATAAAAGCCAACCAGCCTTATTTTGGCTTTGGGTTTGCATTTCAGCTCGATTTGTCTAGATAAGTCCTGGTACCAATAATAAAGTTTAGATTACAAATAAAATTTTACAGCTTTGTCAAAACAAACAAATTTGGCATCAATTTTGTTTAAAACAAAGATAACGTATTCTTGATTACATCAGTCTATGAAGGCTTTACCCTTAATATTTTAAAATGCTGTATAAGGTAAAGGAACTTTTTCTAAATACACCTACCTTTCCTATTTGTAACTCTAATTTCTGTTTTGCTTTTCCGAGTTGCAACATATAGGATTACCAAAATAGTTTTCAGACTCTTTTTTCCCCTTGGAGAAACTTTCTGTAGCAGGACTTTTTGAATTTAGAAGTAACTTCAAAACCAATACATAAAGGTTGATTTCTCACACCATTGTCTCCAACATTATACAGGTTTTCAAAAAAAAAAAAAAAAAATGCCCAGAGAGCTCATGGTAGCAGTTTATTCTGCCGCCAGCTAACGTTTCACCCTCCCGGAGAACACGTTGTCCCCCACACTCACCACTTTCTCTTTGGATCTCAGGACTCCCAGCTTCCCGAACCGAACGTGAAACGGTGAACACTGAAAGGTGCCATCCTGCTGCCGCACCACGACAACGTCAATGCACCCAGACAGAGTGGCTTGGTTGATGCCCTTGTAGAGCTCCTTCACAGTGACAATCACCTGGCCAGCCAGCTGTCCCACATAATTCATGGTTTGAGACTACAAAAGACAAGAAAAAAATTAGATGAGATGGTAACACTGAATTTGTGGACCTAATAACAATGGCAAAGAAAAAACAGGAGTGACTTAACTACTTTGCTCACCTGTACACCAGATTACACAGCGTTACTAACCTTGCTGATTTTGAACCCACTGGTCTCATGCTATTACTGCTTTTACACATTTCCATGCACAGACAATACCAGATTACCCTCCTTTGTACCCGAGAGGCTGTCCCAGTCAGGACCTGAGGCATGTGTAAGTTCCCTTTCCTTGTCCATCATCACAGATAGTGCCAGCTGCCTAGGGGTTTCCCCACACAGTTCAGAACCTGCACACAACCACCAAAGAACCCAGACCACCACCACTGCCCTCCTGCCCAAGACCGCTGGGAACCCGGGACAACTGTATCCACTCTGGCTGGGAACCCGGGACAATTGTATCCACTCTGGCCACAGGAGCCAAGCAGAAAAAACGACTGAAGATCACCCCCAGGAGAAACCTGAAATTCTGTTGTTTCGTTGGAAGATGAATAAATGAGATGGGTTTTCCACAGAAATATTAATAGAATATGGTTCAAAGACATGCTAGATTAAATAAACAAACTCTGGTGAGCTAGACTGGGTCTAACCTATTTATAACATTACTTTTAGCGAAAATCCCTTCAATGCTTCAATACAACCCACTAGAACATATATTCATGTTTCACAAAGTTCAAAGCACAGAAAGAGTTTTAATCTCGTTTCTCAACTGCAATTCACTATTCAAATCAGGATCACCAGGCTGTAAAGGGTCCTCCAGAAAGGGTCAAAGAAGGACGTGAGGGCACCTGACCAGGGCCGCAGAGCAGACAGGAAACACTTTCTGTCTCTGTGCCCCTCACCCACTGTAGCTAGAGCTGGCTTTATCTGACCACAAGATGGGGTGCCTGCCATGTGGTATGCTTTGAGGGCAGGTAGGGAAGTCTGTTTGCCCCACCCCAACTCTTCCACCAATTAGAAAAAAATAGCTCCCCTTCAGTCCTAAGGTTGCCAAATGTCATTTCCAGTGATCAAATACCACCACATTTCATTCATTAGACCCTGAAACCCCTAGTACTATGTCAAAGCACAATTCAGCCAAAGTTATTATGCTGGGGACAGGAGGGATGCAGACCAAACAAGAGAGCCTCTACGGCTCTGTCTAATCCAGAGGCCGACTTTCACCAAACCAGAGAACTGACAGATTATTCTCCAGGTTATTCATCATATGCACAGTTGCCTCTCGAAACCTCTCTTTTGAGGTGCCTTGAGCTCAAAGTTACATGTTGGGAAAAGTTCCCAGAGATCCCAGTCTAAGGTGTCGGCTAAGTCCAAAGCTGAACCGGGAGAAAGAACACCATCCCCTTGGGAAAACTGAGCAGCCTGCCAGGCCATCTGCCTGTGGAGAAACTCATCCCACTCTTTACAGGTGAGCGAGCGCCTGCTGGCAGTGTCCGGATTCCACTCAGACATTTATTTCTGCTCTTACACACAGATGAGTGTGTAATTAAGGCCCGTCAGTCATATACCATGAAGCAAAGCCACAAAAATTTTACCATGGAAAATTTTTAGAACATTTTCAAGTTAATGTTACCAAGGCCCCAAAATGCACCTACAGAAGATCTAGCTTCGAGTGATGTAAACTAGCTGCAAAACTTAACTATTAACTAACAAAACAAGGTGGCATCCTTTATGTGGTAAATTCTAAACCAGTTACAAGTTGGTGATGATTTTGGTTTTAGAAAATTGATTTGAACTTGATAGTAAGGCCAAATTGAGCACCTATCAAGTGCTCAATATTTCTTGAATGAATAAAGAAAAGATCAGATGAACCATCAATGAGACTAAAAAAATAAGAAACCCGTATGGGGAGGAAATAGTGTTTATCAGAATATTCATATTACATCTTATATTTTTTAAATTAATCTTTTTATTTTGAGATAATTGTAGATTCACATGCATGTAGTTGTATGAAATAATACAAAGAGATCCTATGTAGACTTTACCCAGTTCCCCCAAAGGTAACATTTTGCAAAACTTTAGTGCAATATCACAGCAGGATGTCAACATTGATGCAGTTAAGATTCAGAACATTTCCATCATCACAGAGATCCGTCGTCCCATTGTCCTTTTATAGCCACACACACCTATTTCCCTCCCACCCTCACTCCCTCCATAATCCCTGGCAACCACTCATCTGTTCTTCATTTCTGTGATTTTTGCCATTTTTAAGGAAGTTATATAAATGGAATCACACAGTATATAACCTTTTGGGATTGCCCTTTTCCACTCATATTTCTATGGAGATTCACCCAGGTTGTTGCATGTGTCAGTAGTTTGTTACTTTTTTTGCAGAGTAGTATTTCCATGGTATGGACGTACCAGAGTTTGTTTACTCATTCACCTGCTCAGGAACAGCCGAGCTCTTTCAAGTTTTTGGCTATTACAAAGAAAGCTGCTATCAGCATTCCTGTACAGATTTTTGTGTGAAAATAAGTTTTCATTTGACTGGGATAAATGTCCGGGAATGTGACTACTGGGGTGCATAGGAATTGCGTGCTTCGTTTTTAAAGACAGTGCCACCAGAGTTGCAGTACCTTTTTACATTCCCAGCAGCAATGTCTGAGGATGCTGGCACATCCTTGCCAGCATTTGGCAATGTCATTATTTTTTATTTTAGACAAGATGACAGGTGTGTAGTGATATTGGTTTTAATTTGCATTTCCCTAATGGCTAATGATGTTGAACACCTTTTCATGTGCTGATTCGCCATTTGAATATCTCATTAAATTTTGTTTCTTAAAAGAGCACTACAACTAATTTAGAAGAAGAGGGAATAAACATCTTTTTTGTTCCTTATTTCTGGGGTCACGGTGTATAATTTTTATATGTTAAGAATGTCTCCAAAAACAGAAGTGAAATAAAATTTAGTCTTGTGTAGTTCATCTTTTCACTTTCTTTTACCAGACAGTATTTTTCAGCAACCCAGAACAGTCCAACAGAATTTTCATATTCTGTAAGTAATCTATGTTCATGACATGCTTTTTGCGTGTCACGCCTGTACATCAATCAAACAGCACCCAAGTACTATCTTTGTATTATTGCTTGACTGATGGTGGCAATTTTAAAATGAGTTTTGTTACAAATTTTAAAAAAATTCATAACTAATTATATAGGCCTTTTCTTAAGCTGACAAATTATAACTGTTAAGCATCTACATTCAGCCATAAACAAAGTCTTATCAACTAAATATGTAATAAGCTTACATCAACTGGAGCATAGAATCCACAATTAAGTGTAACTACATCTATTCAAGATGATTTTAACTACCATGGTTAAAGGATGTGCTGTTATATAAAGAAAGTTCATGGTGTAAATGCCAGTTGCTAGATGTAGAAAAATACGGGCTGTCAAACGGCTGGTTTTCTCTTAGCAGATATAAAACAACTCTGTTTATATTACAAAGGCTGGGAAAACAAAAGTAAAGGCAGGCCTGGTGCCTTCCTACGCGCTACACCCTGGGAATGAGAAGCACAACTTTGCTAGAAGGGGCACCCCAACCAGGCTGTGGGAGGGGGCTTCCTCAGGGTTTTGTCTGGGGGAAAAGCAGTTGGTCATTGTATGCGTGATCTGTTAAACAGCTTCCTCTTTAAGCAGAATCTTGCACCATAAACCTTTACTCCTGCACACCCTGCCCAGCACTAGCCATAATAAAGCCCAGTGAGAAAAAAGTCAGGCCTCTGACATCAGTCCTTCCTGGTCAAAGGACTCTGTTAAACAGGGACAGAAAAGACAGATGATTAGGTAACCCCATCACACGTGGGGGAAACACCCCACTGAAGACACTCGCTTTTGAAGTAAAACAAAGACTTAAAAATACAGCAAAACAATAAACATTGTAAACTATTTGGCATATTTTATAGTGAATAATGAGGAAAAAAAAGTGGAAGGGAGGGGAAAATCATTTCAAGAACAGAGAGTGACAGAGACCAAGAAAGGGATATAGAAAGAGACAGATGAAAATTCAGAGAAAAAGCAAAGACAGAATACATAATTCGAAAGCAGACTGACATAAAAATGCCCACACAAAAGAGCACCATGGAACTGAAGGATGTTCATAGAGCAGCATCCCTATCTTTAGGCCCACAAACACAAAGAAAAATATTAAAATGCACTTATTGATTCTTAGAACTGCAAGGATTTATCAAGCCCAGTCTTCCAACAAATACCAAAAATGCTTCTAGCACATCTCTGAAATATGGTAAAGTTAACAATAATTACAGTAACAGCAACTATTTTTTTGAGAGCTTACTATGTACCAAATTCTTAAGCTTATACATGTGTTATCATCTCAGAACCACCTTATAGGTATTATTATTCCTATTTTTAAAGATAATGAAATTGAGGCTTAGAAAGGTTAAGTATTGTTATGGACTCAATGTGTTGTGTCGTCCTGCCCACCCCACCCCCTCAATTCATATGTTGAAGCCCTAACCTCCAATGTCACAGTATTTGGAGGTGGGGCCTCTGGGAGGTAATTAGGTTTAGATGAGGTCACAATGGGATCAGTGTCCTTATAAGGAGAGGAAGAGACCAGAGCTCGCTCTATCCCCCCACCATGTGTAAGGGGTCATCTGCAAGCCAGGAAGAGGGCCTTCACTAAGAATTCAATCTGCCAGCACCTTGATTGGACTTCCTAGCCTCTTAAACTGTGAGAAATAAATGTTTGTTGTTTACACCACTCAGTCTGTGGTATTTTGTCATGGCAGCCTGAGCTAAGACAAGTATCTTCTTAAACATCATATACTATACTGCTTTTCCATTCTGGGATACTTCCAGTTGACAGAGACTCACTCCTTTCACCAAGCAGTTCATAACAACATCAGACAGCCCTAGTTATGATGTCCACTAGAAGTCACATTGAATATGTACCACCTTCTTCTAAGTCACACTACTACACACCAAAGACTCTATTGTACA